ATCACAGATCCTTCTAGGTGGACCCACAGACAGTCGGTTGCCTGTTCATGAGTGCTACCTACTATAAAACATGACAACATCTACAAAAAGCTTGGTCACCTTACTGAAAATGCTAAACCATCCTAATTAAGCGAGAAGATTCTATTCATTCTTTGAAGAGTGTTTATTGAAAAGCTCATGAAATATAATTTGTTGCAATTAAAATTTTTCTTTTATGTAGTCTAATAATTCTGAGGTTTTACATTTTAAATATTGTGGAGAAAATGACAGAATTTAAGATATACATGGACTTCAGAAGTTCAAAATTATTATTTTTGAAGAAAATTTAGAATAGGATTTGATAACTAATTTGGACTATTCATCACATTGATGGATATAATAGTTAAAATTATAAATTGCTGAATTTGATAAATATCTAACTAAAGTATTTATTTTTTCAGTCATACATTGTCTGGCCATAAAACATATTTTACAAAATTTCTAGTCAATTTTTTTTTTAAACCACTGTAATTGCATAATAATATTTCATTAAGTTGTGTTTTTCTTCTGGGAAATGTGTAGTTTCATTTAGCCTTTGGATTTCCTAATACTATAAGATTATATATTCATGGTATGAATTCCTTTAAAGAGAGTATTTGTTTTTGGATTCGTATCCATTGCACCTTGTATATGCTTGACTTATCGTCAGTATCCAATAAGTGAAGGAATGAACAAAATATATTACCTATGTATCAAAATACTAAGTATACAAAAAGTAAAATATGTTAACTTGTCCTTTGCTTTATTTATGTAATTAAATTATCATTAATATTCTAGTAGGTATGACTATATAGAGACCTTTTTTAAAAACAACTATATAGAGCCAAATGAATTTTTTTCTTAAATGCTATCGTTATGGTAGACTACGGTAATTTCAACAATCACGCAACAGAGTTTTGATGCTACTCTTTTGATTTTTGTTTTAGAAACACTTAATGAGTTACACACGAAAATTAGTCTCAGTACTTACAGCTATGTTTCATTTTTCAATCTACTCTGATTACCCCATCTTTTCAAAATGACTTTTGATTCTGATCCCTAAACACTTCTCCTGTTAGAGGTATCTTAGTCTGTTTGGGCTGCCATAACAAAATACTACAGACTGAGTGGCTTGAACAACAGAAATTTATTTCTTAGAGTTCTGGAGGCTGGGAAGTCCAAAATCAAGGTGCTGGCAAAGTAGGTTTCATTCTGAGACCTCTTCGCTTGGTTTGTAGGGGGCCACTGTGTGCTCACATGAGCTCTTCTTTGTGGGAGCATGATGAGAGAGAGAGAGAGCAAACTCTCTGGTGCCTCTTTTTGTCAGACCCGGACCCCACCCTCAGACACTCATCTAGCCCTACTTACCTCCCAAAGCCCCATCTCCAAATACCATCACAGTGGGGGTTAGGGCTTCAACCTATGAATTTTGCAAGAACATAAACATTCTTATCCCCATAACAAAGTGAAAAAATTCACAATTCCAAAATGATTTCTGAAAATGTTTTGATATTTCAAAACTATGGCATTGGAGGAGTTATTGAAATAACTGGTACATTTTTAGCTTAAGAAAGACTTGGTGTATAATAGTTCTAAAAAATTAGAGGATTGCCAAAGCTTCTTAATTTCTGCCAATCTAGTGGACATAAAAGGCTATTTCACTACTATCTTAATTTGTATTTTTTTATTTCTAATAAGATAATTTTTCAGATATTCACTCCTTATGTTTCTTCCAAGAAATTCCTGTTCATAATCTTTGCAAAGCTAATCATGTCATTTTCTCCTGTTAAAGGCTTCCTAGCATATACAGGATAAAAGTCAAGTCCTAAGCATGGATATAGTACCTTGCATGTCTTCTTCCCTGTCTACCTCTTTAGCCTTACCTCCCACTGCTGCCTGCCTCCCTCTAAATTCTCTAGGATTTCAGAATTGCTATTTCATTGCTCTATACCTTATGGAATTCCTTTCTCACTCTTGCTGATTCTGGCTAATACTTACTCATTTTTAAGACTTGGTTCATGACATTTCCAGAAAGCTTTCCCTAACTCCTCTTAGGCTGAGCTAAGACCTGTTCCTCCAGATTTCTATAGCATTCTTTGTATAACTCTACCATTGCATAAACTTTATGTTTTTTAAGAGGGCAGACTACCTTTTATTTATGATTTTATCTCCTGTATCGAGCAGGGTGCCTGGTGCATAGCAGGCAATCAAATATAATTTGATCTTCATTGACATGTGTTGTGTGTGTAAGGCTCAACAGGAAGATAGAAATAAGTATTTGAAAGCTCAGGAGATAGTTCAAGATACTGGTAGTAGCTAAAGTCATGGAAGGGGAAGGGGGTTAATATTTGCCAAATGATTCTTTGTAATGGGCATATGGCTAAGCATTTGTACATATACTTGCAACTTGACAAGGTAGCTATTATATTTTATAAATGAAGAAGTAGGATCAGAAAGAGTAAGGAACTAGTCCAAGGTTGACAAAGGTAAAACATGGTAAACCTGGAGCTTGAACTGATGTCTTTTTAAATCCAAAGTCCAAGCTCTTTAGACAACACTAGATGGACTCATGCAGAAGAGCAAGGAGGGAAGAGGAGGGGAGGGAAGGTCCTGAAGATGAACTTAGGGAAGAATCCAAGAATGGGACAGGAACACCATTCGGGACTGGTGTGTTGTAAGCCAGAGTGAAAAATTTCAGAGGAACTGATAACCATTTCAAATACTGCATACAGATCAAGTCATTTAAGGGCTGACAATGTCTTCTGTGTTTACAATCAGATCTTTGGTCACCTTGGAAATAGCAGTGATGAGCGAAGTGGTGGGGAGAAATGATTACACCTGGTTTAGGAGTGAATAGGAGGCAGGGATGTAGCCATATAAACAGATTCCTCTTTCAGAAATCTAAGCTGTAAAGAGAAGTTAGACAATATGCAAAATGCTAGGGCTTAGAAAGTTGGTTTAAAAGATTGTTTTAAGCTGTCATAGATATGACTATGTTTAATTAATGAAGAGGAAAATTCAGTCGAGGGGGAGAATTAAAGATATATTAAAGGGGATAACCTGATGGAGTAATAATTTTGAGTAGGTAGAAGGGGATGGGATCCAAAAATAACAGTGGACAAAGGGCTATCCTAACTGAGAAGACATCAATGCATTTTTGCAACGAAAAACAGAAAAAATATGTCATGACGTTTCCGACAACCCAATAGTTCAGTTTGTGGCTGGAAGTGGAAGAGATCCAAAAATTTGAGTTCCTATCTGTGAAATGAGAAGGAAAGAAGTCTGAAGTTTTACATATGCAAGACCAAACTCGTAGACTTCGATCCCAAACTGGTTTCGTAGAGTTATTATTTTTTTTCTGTCAAATGGATCAATCGACATTCTCCTATACATCCAAGGTTCAAACCTGTGTCATCTGTAATTTCTCCTTTTTCTTCCTTCCTATTTCAAATGAATTACAAAGTATTAACAGTAAGAATAGAAAGGACCTTGAGGACATTCAAGTTATAAACGAGTAACTCATATTCCACAGAAATTTAGAAGTGTGCTTAAGCTTCTATCAGTCACTATTAGCAAATGCTGTAAGGCAAGTTTCCCGGCCAGAAGAGGTCCGTGACCTACTAAAAAGTAGATATCTATCAGATATCTACTGTATTTGACTCCATGTTGCTTAATATACTATGTGGCACATATTAGTGACTCAGCAAATACTCTGTAAACCCATGAATAAATGTTGGAGGTAGCGGCCAGCCATAAAGTAAGAGTCAAAGATTCAATCAATTTGGGTTTGATAGAGCCTTGGTATTGCTCTAGTACAGCACAGCTCCCTCATTTTATAGATGAGGACACTGAGGCCCAGAAAGATGAAGTAACCTGCCCAAAGTCCAAAAGTTAGTTACTGATAGTGCTAGGACTACAGAGAAGCAAAGAGGGTGCCCAAAACAGCTGGATCTAAGGAGCAGGAGGGATAAATACTAGGATGTGCACTTCCATTTGAGTCCGCTCTTACAATAGCATTTTATTTCGGTTACTAACTATTCCAAGAGCACCCAAGTCTCCCTTTCTCTATTGCCTCCAATGTATTCAACATTCCAAAGCCAGATCAATAGTCATCAAATGCTGCTTTCATGACCCACTTCTTGACAGTTAAAAAGCCCTCAAAAGGCTAACTACTACCTATAATATGAAATAAAAATTACTAACATTCGTAACCCTTCACTCTTGTGCTACTTTTCAACCTTATCTCCCCATCTATAAATGCTCCCCTTGGCCAGACTCCTGTGGGCATTAACCTCCAACTTCCACAGAGGCCACCTACCAGCTTCTTTCTCCCTCGGGCTGTTTTTTGGTGGTCAGCAAGGGGCTGACCATCTATCTGTGCAGTTCCACAGGGCCTCATGCTTTAGATGGGCCTGGTGCTCAGCTTCCCGGTCTCTGTAGTTTGCAATTCTTAATAATTTCTCAACAGGGATTTCGCATTTCCTTTTTATGCAAATTATGCAGTTGGTCCTGGGTCAGGCTCCTCAGCCCCAGGCCCAGCGTTGTAAGTATCAGCCATCCAACATTTGTTGGTTAAATGAACGAACAAAGGGTCTAGTGTGATGAACAATAATGAGAGGATCTAGACTTCTGTGGTCTAGTCTTATGTGCAATAATGAAAAAGGAAGGTACTCCAACACGGAGTTGCAAGGACACGTCTTCCCGCCAGGAGCTCAAAACTCCAACCGCAACCCAAACGCCTTCTCAAACCGGTTCCAGCTGGATTCCTCACAGCAGCTCCTACGCCAGAAACAATCCCAGCCGTTTCCCTGGCCGCGGCCAATCCCCGCAGTTCTTCGGGGTCCAAAACCTCAGCGAGCTCTGATTGGTTTACAGAGTTGGCCGTAAAGGCTGATTGGCTGACAGTTAGCTGGGCGGGGTTGCACCCGTGGGGAAGTGGGTGGGGCGGGAGGTCTGTCCCCGGGCGGCGAAGCGGCTATTGCGCAGGCGTGGAAGGAAAGGGCTACACAAACAAACAAAACCCACCCTGAGGCCTCCAGCTCTCCCCGCCCACCTTTACCTTCTGTGGGCTCTCCCCTCTCCCAGTCGCCCAGCTTTCCCCGCCCCCGTCTACGTCTGGGCACGTCCCCCTCGTGGTGCGGGCCACGCGGGGCCCTGCACTTAACCTCTGGCCGCCCGGCTCGAAGTTAGAGACTGGGAGAGCGCGGCCGGCGCGAGCACCTGGCGGCGGGGAGCAGAGGAAGGAGCCCGGGCCTGCGACCTCGGCCGGGCCGACGATGACTTGCTACCGAGGCTTCTTCCTGGGCAGCTGTCGTCGCGTGGCGGGCGGCCGGGCGGCGGCTCTGAGGGCCCCGGGCGCGGAAGGCCCCTCGGCGCGGCCGCGGCTCGGCAGTGACTGCGGCGGCCGGCGGCACCTGGGGCACGGTCAGCCGCGCGAACTGGCGGGCTGTGGCAGCCGCCCCGACGGCGACTTCCGCCCGTCCCGGGTGGTGGTGGTGGCCAAAACCACCCGGTACGAGTTCGAGCAGCAGCGGTACCGTTATGCAGAGCTCTCGGAGGAGGACCTGAAGCAGCTGGTGGGTCCCGGCTGGTCTCGTTGTGTCTGGGCTTGGCCCGACCGCGCGCGGGACGACCGTCCTTGCCCGAGGCACCCTAGATGCTTTGCCTGCCACGCTCGCTGTCCCCCACTCCCTCTGGCCTTCGCTGGTAGCCCCCTCTCCCCCGCCTCTGTGTGTGCGTGTGTGAGAGAGAAATAGAGAGGGACAGGGTCACTGTTCGTGCAGAGACCCCCAAGACGCGGTCGTCTCGAGGAGGCCTTGGGGAAAGAGGGGCTCCCCCAGTCAGGGGTTTTGGATTCATTTGCCCTCGCCACCCCCACCCCCTTGTTGGGGATAGCAACTACAGCCCCAAGAAAGGTGGGCTGGTGACTGACGTCTGGACGCTGGAAACAGCTCCCCAGGCCGCCCCGGGAAAGGGGGGCGCCGCTGCGGGAAGTGGAAAAGGGGAAGGTGCCACGGACACACCCCCTTTTACTCTAGGACTGCGAGCCCCGGGACACTCCGGAAAGCGGCATGGGCGAGCCTTGTTCATGCTGGAACGTGGTGGTCAAAGTTCTGGCAGTTTATTTTAAAAGCACAGGCGTCTTTGGTACTGGGAAGAGTAAGGAGAAAATTTGACTTAGAATATATGTTACGTAGAAAGGTCTAGACAAAAGGGCACGGAAATCTGGTAATTATGAAATAAAGAGCCTACGTCTATAATGTAGCAGTAACTCCACAATAGACTATATTTAATATAGTATTAATATTTGTGCAGGGTATATCCATCCATCCAAGGAAGAAACCCTGACTATTACCCTCCTCCCTCCTCCTTTTGAAACTTATGATCCCATGTCCTTATTCACCAACTTTAGGTAAAGAAAAGTGATGAGGCTACTATGAACAATATGTCCAGAAAAATCTCCATTGGCAATCTCTTATTGTTGACATTGTGCAACAAAAGGCTTTGGAATTGCCTATTACCATAATCTTGTAGAATTCTGCACAAGGGTAGACTGCTTGTTCTCAAGATGGTTCGTAATCTTAAGCAATTTTTTTGGTAACATTTTGTAGAGGTATCCAAATAAAATTGTAAATCACCTTTGCTTAAGCACTGAATCTATTTTCAGCATTAACTTCTTGATTCTTTAATGAGTTAATTGAAGAGGGCCCTGCCTGCATTCATCTGATGGAAGTGCTAGATGCAGATTTTTCTTTCCTTTGCCTAAGTGTGTGAAGGTAGCAATTTGTAGAAAAAGTCCCATTTAAAGACTAACAGTTTGAGCAGGAAGATGGAGTCGTTAAGTTTGTGTTAGGGTGTGAAGTTGGTGGGGAGGCAGGCAGTAATGCTAGAAGGCAGGTGTTTTCTGTTTTGGAAAAGAGGTATGTCCCTTGAGTTGTATGCCTAATTTTGTAAGATCTTTTTAGAAATGGTCAAATGCCATATACCCATAAGTATGTTCTTCCTACAATTTTATGGAAGCCTTCCACAACAATTAAAAAAACAACAAAAAACAGTATACTCAAGATGTTCAGAGTGTAGGATTAGGTAGGGGTAAGAAGCTTGGCGTTGTAGGCCCAGGTTCTGTGTGGTTAACTTCTTATGAGTCCACTTAACTTCTCTGGGCCTTATTGATGAAAACAGTACTTTTTGTGAGTACTGTCAGTTTTCAAAGTGCTTTCACCTATTTCAGTATGTGGAATACTAGGATTTGGACTAGATCGCCTCCAAGGCCCTAGAAACACTGGCATTTCGAAACTAGGTAACTTTATCAAGGACTCAAGAAAATGTATGGCATCTAAATTAGATTAATTCTTGGACCTCCAAACTAGATTGTCCCTAATCAAAACTTTAAATGTAAGCAAATCAGTAAGTCTTTAAAAATCGAACTGCCTAGTGTACCCACTCAACATCTGAAGAGAAATCTAACATAAATATTTGTCTATCACTAGGTAATGCTGCTCAGGATAAGAAAACTTTGAAGTAAAACTTCTGGACTATAGAACGCACAGTTTTGAAATAGTTGTTGTCATTTTCAGTTATGTTTTATTGGGTTAATTCCTTACTGATTTGAGGGTTTTTTTTTTTGAAGATTTCATTGGGGAAGGGGAACAGTGTGTTTTTCCAGGACCCATCAGCTGCAAGTCAAGTAGTAGTTCACATCTAGTTGTGGAGGGCGCAGCTCAGCTCCAAGTCCAGTCGCTGTTTTCAATCTAGTTGTGTGTGGGGGGTGCAGCCCACCATCCCATGAGGGAATCTAACCTGCAACCTCTTGTTAAGAGCATGCACTCTAACCAACTGAGCCATCCGGCCACCCTGATTTGAGTTTTATCATGTATATCAAGGCCACTGTTCAACATAGAGTAACATTAGGTGGAGCCCAGAACAGAGATCAGTAACAAGTCAAAGAATACTAGGCTGTGTGAAGTTGTTCTAAAATGGGATTCTGTATTACGAATGAAAAGATGATTAGTAGTTTTTGCCATTTTGTTGGGGGTAAAAGATACTAAGGTATATGAACCATGTGAATTGGGTATAAAAGAAAGTGGCTAAGTGCTTACTTGAGGCTTCTGGCACCATGGCTGCTTTGTCTATAGTGTCATGGTAACCCAAAGTTTTGTATCAGAGGGTTCTCGTTTTTTGGTGGAGGTGGTGGTTGTGGTTCTTTGTTGCAAATAGATCTCTAGTAGGTTACTTGTTAAAACGCAAAGCAAAGATGAGGGATGGAGTGCAAGTATTTTATATACTGAAGCCTCATGGTTTTCTAACTTTGTAGAAACATAAACAATTAGAAGAAATACTTCTTAGTTGATAAAGCATGTACAAAATTGGTTTACCTCCTTCAAACTGTCAAAGTTTGATTTTCAGTTACTCTTTGTTATTGGTTACATTGCCTAATTTTTAAATCTTGTTTTTCCTTTCCCCTAACAGATCAGTGACTTTTCTTGTGAATAGAGGATTTCTAGAAAGGATTTTATCTCTACTGGCTCATGACCTTTCAAGGACTAATTAAACTGTTACTACAATTTACCCACATCATAAGAGATGTAGCTGTTGGCAAGTGTGGAATTTTTATTAATAGGGTCTAAGAGACTCACAGATTATACCTTTAGATGAATCAGAGCTAATTGAAAAGGGCTTTGACATCATAAGCATGACTTATTGGCCAAAAAGAAGGTTTAATTTAAAAATATTTTGATATACACCAAATAAGAAATGAACAGTTTCCACCCTCCTCTTCCCAAACCTCAAATTTTACAACCCCAGATGCAACTCCCTTTAATGGTTTCCATTTATAGGTTTTTGAAAAATTATTTTCAAAATGGGATAGAATAGTTTCATATAGCAGTTCCTATACTATAGGAGTAAACTATTCCTAGTTGTTGCCGCCTTAGCAGATTTAGGAGTTGTAGTGCCTTGGATTTGGTTCCCCTTACTCTGCTTCCTGAAAACAATGGTGTAGCTTAAGTTGTAGTTCTTGGGCAGATAATACTTTTACCACATGGTCTGCAGTGACTGAAGTGTATGCAACGTGAGTATTTATCAAATTAAAGAACATGATCTGGAATACTGCCAGAGCCTTCTAACGGAAACCTCACTCCTCTCAAATCTTCCAGACACAGGCACCAGAGTTGTCTATCTCAAGTGAACGTCTTGGGCACTTGACTTTTGTTTAGAACTCCTCAGAAGCTTCCCATAACTTGTAGGGTCACCTAGAGAATTTGTTACAATGCAAATGCCCGTCTTAGCTCCCTGTGAGATTCTGATTCACTTTGTGAAGAACTCCCAGGCTCTGCCTTTCTGAACCACACCCTTGAGGTTGCTGACTCAGTATTTTTTTAACTGGCTCTGCAGGTATGCAAGTGGTCCCTGGATCACACTTTGAGAAACGGTGCTGTAGGCGAACCTTTATGATCCTCAGTGTGCCAGACTGGGCCCTTCATGAACTGGCTCCTGTCTACCTGTTGAGCTTCATTTCTGATCAATTCTTATCTTCTCTTTCATTCTAGAAATAATTATACATTCAAATCAACACAGTGAAATATTCTTTTTCTTTGTCCCATATCATTTTACTCAATAGCATATTTCTTTAAGCTACTCAGCACCGTGTTCTTTTATTCAGTAGTATGTGTAGTATTTCATTGTGTGCAGATGCCTTAATTTATTAAAATACTGTCTGTAATTAATATTTGTGTTAATTCCTACATGTTTGAATCAGGCTCTAAAATAAATGCCTAGAAGTGGAATTGCTGAGCCAAAAGGCGTGTGCATTTGAAATTTTAGTAGGTAATTGCCAGATTGCTTCTCTTAGAGGCTGTGCCAATGTACAAGTATACCTTCACCGGGAATGAAGGTGTTTGTTTTTCCATAAACAATTTCTGTTTTGGGGTCTTTGCCAACCCAGGAGTTGAAAATAGTATTGTAGCGTGGTTTCATTTGCATCCCTCAGTGTCTTTACCTTTGTAGCCCCCTCTGCTTTCAGTGTTCCTCCATTCTTTAGCCAATTCCTATTCTTCCTTTGAGGTCAAACTCAGACATTACTCTCACAGGAAGCCATCCTTGGTAACCTTGCTGTGCCTCTCTCTGGCCACCAAGATTGTGTTAGGTTTTCTTCACTGTATCTTCTTCATAATACATTAGGTTTTTGAGATTTCCACTTTGGAGTATAATCTATGAGTACTTTCTTCTCTAGACTTAAGGGCAAGGACTGCATCTTATTAAATTGTAACTATAAGTGGTCCATGGGAATTCAGAGAAGGGAGAGAATATAGTGAAGGGCAGGAATGAAGGGGAACAGATGACCTTTGAATTTTTTTTGTTGTTGTAATTTTTAAGGATACTTTTTAGTGATCTTTTAAAGTTTAGATTTTTAGTTTGAAATATTTCTACCATATAGAAAAGTTACAAAAAGTAACTAGACACCATGTGTTGAACTATCTAGACTTTACAGATAATTATTCTGCCTTATTTACTTCAGATATTTTTAAAGGAAATGTAGTTATAACTAAAACCCATCCTTTCAGTTTTTCCCTGCCCTGTCTCCCTAAAGTAACCACTAGCCTGAAGTTGTTATATATACCTTTTGCATGTATACATTATACTTATTAA